TCAGTAAAGAGGGAGCGCATAAACCTGGAGTTCAGACCGGAGCTCCTCACCTGAGTCAAAGTACAGCAGGTAGTTCAGGTTGCATCCATCGATCACCAGCCGGCTCCTGCCGAACTGGACGTCCCGGTAAATCTTCTGGCGGTTGTCTAAGAAGGTGGTCAGACCCTGAACCCCCATCCTGGTGTGAGTGCGCCGCGGATCTCTAAGTGCGCCTCCTCCGCTCTGTGTTTCCTTAAGTTTCATTTCTTCACATCAGCTGATTACAGCTGACAGCAGCGTGCACGCGCTGAGAAGGGCTGGGTGATATTTGGGTGATCCATCAAAGTCAGCCTGCAACAGCGGAAATGTCACATGCAGAGATGGGCAGTAACGCGTCAGTAATTAGTTACTGATTACTTTTTTTCGTGATTACTCTTTTTGGCCAGAGAGGCCGATGGCGCGATATGTCAGCCTCGCCTCTGTCAGTCTGCCCCAGGACAGCTGTGGCTACACCTGTAGCTGCTCCACCAGTGAATGTGAGAGTGAATGAACAGTGGCATTGTAAAGCGCTATATAAATGCAATCCATCATTATTATTATTATTTTTTTTTTTTTTCAAGTAACTTGACCAACACTGATCATATGTGTTCACGTGCCTGTGGCCATGGAAACAACGTCCTCCTGCCCTTCTACAGAAATATAGAAAAACATTCATTACAGAAATTTACAGTAATGTGAGTGATTACATGAAATAAAAGTAGATACACGGGACCTCGTGTTTATCAGGGTGTTACGTGGATTATAAGAATCGCAGCTACATGTCACACACTGTCACAGCTGTAAGAAGAAATATTATGGGATGGTTTCTGATGAATCTGGATGAGGTGGCTGCAGATGCTGCAGCTGCACTGAGCGGTAAGAAGGTACAACCCTGAGCCCAGAGTGCTCGTGTTGTTCCTACATCACCATAACCATGCAAGGGATCAATCACATTGTTATGATGTCATACCTTTGCAATGTGGGGGCGGGACCTTTGTTTATATCAAACCCTTTTCAGGAACCAATGGGAAGTGTTATCTTTATAACTACGTCATATTATCAGTGTAGGTTTGCTGTCAGGCAAATTTAAGCAAGTCGTGTTGGTTTACTGCTGATGCTAAACAAAGCTGCAATGTTTGTGTATCTGGACTAAGGTTGTCATGGTGATTGTTGTGCCAAAGTCGTTACCCACGTCAAAAATTGTTTCCCCATTCACGGGAGCGCGCAAAGTAGGAGGAGCCACTTGCCCTACTTGTCACTGATGTGCAGTCGACGCAATAAAGAGTAAAAGCTGGAGAACAGCAGACTCGATGAGTTTCATATTAGTGACACTGTAATGCGCCTTAAACTGCACTGAAATAAGCTGCTGGGAATACTTTGTCTAGAAAAAGACTCTGATACGATAATACTGCAAAACCAGACGCGATCATGGAAACACGTCGCTCTGCAGTGAATTTACGCTCAGTTTACACTTTGTAGCGAAGCGATCACGAAGGAGTTTGTTTACAAAATCAATCACAGTATAACTAATAAGTGCAGTAACTTTGGAGACGATGTCTTCTTCACAGCAAAAGTTATGGAGGATACAGATGTTATCAGGCTGTGTGGCATCGGCTGCCAAAATGTGCCCCCCCCCAAATCTATAATGATGCACATTGGCAGAGTTTTTCTTTGTAAATAGATAATATTTAAAACAACCCTTATATATATATATTTATCGTCTTTGTAAGTGCTTTTCAAAATGTTGCAAGTTAGTTTCGGCCAACCTTTCGTAAGCCTACTTGACTCCCGGTCACGTGGGTTTTCCTCATCAATTATGCAAATTAGCTGACGTTGTGCGCACGAACCGAAACCCAAAGAGCCTCTGAGCTAACGAGAAGATTACTTTACAATTTGTTTTCGAAAATAACAAACACCACAGGAGGAACCAGACGAGCACAAGATGTTGTTGCATATAAACTGAAAGTATCAGCGCTTTTCATTGAAGGTAATAACAGCAACTTCGTAGCGTTTATAAATGTCATCAATACATATACTAACACATATACAATAGCATGATGTGTAGTCTGATTTAGTTAGCTTGACCTTTCTTTGACCTAGTTAACCCGTTCATAGGCACGTGGGCGTTTATTAAAGTGAAAGTTTTAAGGTTTGCTGTAGTCAGCGTTAACTAAAAGTCCTTTTATAGCTTAACTACAATATATTACGTCATAATGACTTTTGGAGTGGATGTGCCACAGCCTTTACCCACTGTTATGTCTTTATTACATATGTGGAAAATTACTGACAGCATGTGGAATTAAACTACTTTGAGTTGATATTTGTATTAAAAATAACTCCATGATATCTGAAGGCCATTAGTCATGATGACTTTACATCCATCACTTTGTTTAGTATCAGTAATGTGTGTGACATAATCTGTTTGGCTTCTGAAGTAGTCGTACTGTCATAAATACAGAGAACCAGTCAGCCCCAAATTATATCACATAACTGATTCATTACATTCAGATGTATGGTCATGACTGTTACCACATACAGACCTGTCGTGGTTTAAACAGCTATAATAAACTTTTCTATTTCCTTGTTTATGTTTAGGGGAGCAGCTGTTTTACTGGCGCTACAAAGGCACAGACCATACAGACGACGGGAGTCTGTGGGGCTGATTTTCATGCCAGTCCTACTGGGTCCCATTACGGGCAAACAAAAACAAGAGAAGCCATTTCAAAGCGGCTCTACTGGCCAGGATGTCAGTGCACATCAATAATTGGGTGGGTACTCCAAAACAAGCTCTATGTAATCCGACTGCAGCTAACTTATTGTAAGAGGAACACAGCAATGTTTCTGTATCTCTCAAAATAAGTTATTAAACCTCGATCATCAACTCTTGTGTTTCTTATTGAATTGTTTTTATCTCTGATCAGGTTTCCCAGGGTGCACTTTGCCAGGCAGCTGCTGCAATTAAAACACCAGCAGAATACATTCGATAGTCATCGACCATTTAATCACATTAATCACACGATGTTTTCAGTGCTTACAAACCTACTGATTATATACTTGAAAAAATTATAAGAGTAGACGAGCTTTCTGTGTAATTTCAGTATTATTAACTTAACTATGATTTTGTTTTTAAGGTCTCTCAGCCATTTGAACTGGTTGGGATGGACCTTATTGGAAAACCTACTGAAATCAACAACGGACATCAATAAATATGTGTTTTATTGATTATTTTACAAAATGGCCACAAGCTTATCCTTTAAAGTCAAAATCAGCCGGGGAAGTGACGAACTGTCTCATGAAATGTGTCCATCCTGTAAGTACTTTAGTCTTTGGCAAAAATATGTGAACTCATATTTGAATAATTGTTTGAAAATGGTTTTGAGATATTAGCATGACAGCTGTTTATTTAAATTCTTATTGTAATGTGCTTATAGTCAGTATATAACTGTCGTTTGCAGCTCAACAACAGGGTTTGTTTGTTACAAATGAAAAGAAGCCTCTGCTGCCCCGATCACCCACAAACGAATGGGCTGGTGGAGAGAATGAATGGCACCATCCAGAGGTAAATGCTGTACATGTTATACATTTATGGGGTTCCCTTCAACCAAAACATTAATGCATGACATTAAACTATTAGAAAATGTAAATGATCTTTCATATGAATGTCTTCTATGTGCTTTCATTGTCAGAGCTCTGTGCAAAGTCGTTGGCGACCAACCAGAAATGTGGGATGAGTATCTGATGCTGTAATGTTTGGACTGAGCACCAAATACTCACCTTATTACCGAATGTTTGGCAGAGAGGCTCGCGATCCTTCCGAAATCCCAGAAGAGTTCATGGTGTGTCTTCCTGTCTGTGAGAAACTACACGGAAATCCCACACAACGAAACTTTTTTAGTTTTTGAGGCGCAGGCAGATCAGTTTCAATGGATGCTACGTCACCGCCATGAAAGCGCTACACCACTGAATATTTTTATGGATTGTTCCTCAATAACAGTTTTCTTCATGTCCAATCAAACACTGAAGCTTTGCCAGAAATACATTGTGTCTTAAAACCTTACCAAAGACGCTTAATGTAAATTTTCACTGTATTTCTCAGTTCTTTTATGTATTATCTGTGTATCTTACACAAAGTATAGTAATGATAGACGTGTCTTTTGATTCAAAGGTTGATGAGCGTGTCGGACACATTCAAAAGCATCAGAAGCTGTTGGAACTGGTGAAGAACAATGTGGTCAAAGCTCAGGAAGAAACAAAGGGCAAAATAAAAATGATGGAGAGAGACGTCGTCTTCAAAGTTGGTGACAAAGTTTTAAGAGCTAACATAAGAAGCCAGCAGAGGAAAGGCGGGAAACTTGAAGCAAACTTTTTAGGCCCTTTAACATTATTACATCAATCCAAGGTAAAAGTGCAGATCTTCAGGACTCCAATGGGAATCATAACAAAAGTAAATATTGACCAACTAAAGTTAAGCAAAGACAGCATGCCAAGAGTGCCACACCGGGGTTAAAGAAAACAGCAGCCACATTACTAACAAGCTGCAGCAGCACCAGCATCTGCTCTAGCTTCACAGGCTACAGCAGCACCAGTGACGGTAGCACCTCCACCTCCTCCTAGAGCTTCACAGGCTACAGCAGCACCAGTGGCATCACTTACATCACTACCAGTTCAAACACAACATCCATCTCCAGTTCCACAAGGTAATAACGGTATCAGATCCAGAGTCAGGAGCAACAGCACAGAACGAACCACCAGGACCAGCCAGCAGTGCTGCAGCACCACAACACGCTGCAGCTCTGCAAACCGAATCCCAAACAGCAGCCTCACAGCTCCAAATGCTACAACCACACAAGCCTCAGCTCCACAGATTACAGCCCAGCAACCTACAGCACAAACCACAGAAGCAACAGTTCCACTTGTGACACCAGCAACAGCAACAAGCTAGCCCTGCACCACCTCCAGCATCACCACCTCAAAGATACACTGAACCTGATGCAGAGAAATGTAAATAAATATAATATTTTTTTATCTTTTAAAAAGGGCGTTTGTTCCTATGACAGTGTTTGTTTCAGTACTCTGTAGATCATGGCATAGCAAATATACACCTTTAAAAATATTTTTTAGGTATATTTCCTAACAGAATATTTAAATTGAACAAAATGTTAATGCTTTAAAAAAAACCTTCATGGGGCAA